AAACCCTGTCTTGAAAAACCAAAACCCAAAAAAAAAAAAAAAAACAACAAAGGCCTGGATTAGATGGAGCATTTTTGTGAAGATTTTGGTACTTTGACTAACTAGTTTGAGGAGTAATTAAAAGTTGAGGGAGCTGGCCTAGCAGTGGTGGACTATGACATTAATCCCAGCATTCTGGAGGCAGAGACAGCCTGTCTTGAAAAAACAAAAAATAAAAATAAGTTCGGGGGCCATCTTTTGTGAAAATTATCTCGTTACCTGTGTTGCACATTTAGGAAATGGTGATATACATGTAAATTTTGCTCTGAAAGTTATGTCCATTACAATTCAAGAAAGACTTTTATTTACAAAAAAGGAAGTTTGTGCATGCTGGATTGAAGAGTGATATTGAAATACAACCATTTTCAATACTGTGAATGATCAAATGTGGAGTCAAGGGTTTCCTGGCCTATAAGAGACAGAGAATGAATCAGAGAAAGAATGTGTGGAGGGAATCCCAGAGATGAAGAAATATTATAAAAGGACCTCATGATTTCTTTATGACATATCCATTATTGTTTGCCCATAAGTTTAAAATTTAAAACTGACTCATACAAAATGAACAAGTCATATATATATATATATATATATATATATATATATATATATGCAATAACAATTAAAAAAAATAGGTCATGAATTTGAATGAGAGAATGAAAGAGTTTTGAATGGAGGAAAGGGAAGGAAGACATGTTGTAATTCTAGTGTAATCTCAAAAAAATCCCCACTAACTTGTAGCTAGATGTCTTGACATACAACTGTCAAATGTGATATCAGTACTTGAGAGACAGAAGCAGGAGGATCAAAAATTGGTTAAAGACTAGGTTGTTTATAATGTGTATAATGAATCCTTCATCCCAACCAATCATGTGCTAAAGGAGAGCACTTGCCTACACTATGCAAATCCCCAGATGAAAAACTAAAGAAAACTACCTAATTTGGGGGTGGGGGCCCTCCCAACTATCATAATGTCTCATATCTAATTTTACACTGAAGTCATTTGGAAAATAGGACATATTTACCCAAATGTTCCTATTGCCAAAAAGCTAGGGATTTTTTGTTTGTTTGTTTGTTTTGGTTTTCAGCAGTGATCTCCGTTTGACAATTGTTGCCTCCAGTTAATAGATTTCTCAGATCTTCAATCATTTTCGTTTCAAGTGAACTTGCCTAGAGGAGACATTTAATGTCATATAGTCTGTGAGCCACAACTTTAAGCAAGAAGTTGGATCTGCAGGGTTACATTTTATTTAATCCTATGAGTTGAAACACTCATTGCAAGTGTTAGTATGCATTGTGGAGGGTGTTCCTAACTTGATATGATAGAATACTGTAAACAATTCCTATATTGTACAGAATGAACTTGATAACCTCAAAATTTCTTTCAAATATAACATTTTCCAGTTCATCATGTCTGGTAAAATTTAGTAGAAATTGCTTTCATAAAAGATTTGAATGTAAATTCCATAGTTTCAGTGAGAGTTGCAATATTGTCATTGCTAATATTTTTGTTTATGTCATCACTTAAATTTACCAAGAAGTCTTGGTGTTAAAGGGATGGATTTCCTTTTAATTTTCAAGTAGTTTTGGTGGTGTCCTTTTACTTAAAATACCCTTTGATATAAATCACATATACATAGTACACAAAAGCCCCTATAGGTACCTATTGATTTATTGATTTACTGACTTATTTGTTTCAGTCTTTGGGGAAGAATGAAATAATACAATAAAAATAGCTAGGAAACAGTACTTTCACAGGATTTCTCTAGCTCTATAGCTCTTGTTCTCAAGCTACAAATCTTTGAAGACTATATTGGGTCCTAGGTAATATAAAACGCGGATTTGTGTTCAATGAATTGGCTTACTGTATGAGATATCTCTGTGTTTGATATGACATCCTTCCCTATTAAAAATAAGACTGAGGTGCTGCACTAAATTTTCATGTATCTGGATCTTATAAGAGCTCAATTCACACAAAACTCTTGAAATCTCTGTCTTACTCAGTGTCAAAAATCTGTACATTAGTCTGAGGCATAAAATATCTTAATTGCTAAAGTTATTATATGAAGCCAAATAGAACAAGTATGATTTTGACCAAATGGCTATGATCAAAGAACCTCAACTCATCAGATTTTTATTTGCTGGACTACTTAAACTTTAAAAAAAAAAATGGAGACACAGCAATAAAAAGTTCAATAAGGAAAGTAGACAATGGTTTTGGATTAGGGCAAGTTCAGATCTACATCTTCACTTTACACTTCCTCAATATCATAAACTAAAATTTTGAAATCAATGTTATACTAGTTGTGGTCAGTATTTAGTGAGCTTACCATGTCCATTCAACCCCAGCATAGAAGCCACTCCCTTGACATCTCACCTGCTCACTCCAGGAGGAAATAGAAGGTGTATTGACCAGGGCAGAAGCAAGCAGTGCGAAAGCAGTGCCATAGATCAGACAGTTCAAGAAGGTGTTTTATTTTAAACATGCTTGATTTGACCATATTGGAATGATCAGTATATGTTTATTGAGCATTAACTATGGGCCAGATGTGATACTGAATATCTCTCACACACAATCTGGTTATATATTTATATAAGTCCCAGGAGTTTGGTGTTCCTACTAGCTTCCACTTACAGATTATGGCTCAGAAGTTCTGGAAGCACCTCGGTCATCCACTTCATAAACAGGGAAATGGACTAATACATCATTCGTAAAAGTATCCAATACAAAACCAAATAAAAAATCTCTATGAGTAACAGTCATTAATCAGAGCATGCTAATCTCTGAGAATTTCTTTTAATCAGTATTTTACCCATCCTGTAGTATATTGCTCAAATGAGTGAGATGCATTTAAAATCTAATTATTTTAAATAATATTGTTCCAATCAGCTTTAGCACTTTTCAGTTGTGGCATTAATATTTGGTTATCATCTGCCAAGGCTTTAATATAATGAGCTAATGAGCTACCTGCCCCCCCCACTTGTTGAGGGCAAATTCATTCAATATAAACTATATATTAATGTGGTACAAGGTATAAAGGAATACAGTTGTGGGGTGCAGCGTCTCCTTCTGAAGGACTGACAAGTTGATAAGGAAAATCTTTGTTTAATTCACTTACAATAAAAATAATAGCCACAAACACCCATTTTTTAATCTCTGCCACAACTCTGTGCAGTGTTATCCACTCATCCCACACATTATGAGGCTAGGGATAAGAGAGATGTTGTGGTATGCCAATCTAATCTAACTAGTAAAAGAAACCAAAGATTTGCGCTCTTGGTCTCTTGTGCTTTTTCCCTTATACAAGCATTCTGTTCTCCTTGGAACTTGGTCTAATCAGACTGACAATGCAGAAGGAAATTCTGAGAAAGTTTTGGAACTGTACATAATCACTTTGGAGTCATTGCAGACCCACACCACTGTGCCTACTTTGTTTTTAGTTCTAGTCATAATAGGATGTAGGATGTAAGTGAACATTTGACTTAAGGAAAAGAAACAAGTTTGGTTATTTCATATAGTTACTTACATGTTGTAAATGAAGAATATTTGACAAGTCCTAAAGGACGCTGACAAGTCCCAGCGTAGTCTAGTTGCTAGGGGGATAAATTAAATTTTGTATGATCTGAAAAAACATTCGCTAACATATTTATTATAAACAATAATGGGGAGCATTTTGCTCAGCATTCATATTACTAAGAGTTGACTGACATTTAACTATTTGTCTTACAATCCTTTTATTGATGTTTTATAACATTGTCTCAAAAATTGTATAGTTGGAGGACATAGAAAAATTAGAGGTTAAAAAAATGGGCCAAATCAGACCAACCTAATTCCCCCTTTGATAGGAAATAGTGAATAAAAGGCTTGGAAGACATATGTTTACTTTGGGCTTTAACAAAGTTTTTCGTTCTGTATTTCATGACATTTTGATGGAAACACTTGAAATCCCTTCTGCTACTGCCAGAGTGAGAACTTAACTTTACTCCCCTCTTTAGATGTGTCTAACCTGCTGCTTGTGGGCCACTAGCTATGAATGCAGTATAGCATAGAATTGTCCATTTGCTTAAAACATTAAGGACGTTTTGTGATCTTTTGTATAACTAAGTTCCACAAATGATGGCATAGCTTCTTAGTGTCGGAGATTTTGACCCATCTCTAAGACTTAGTAGAAAGTACACTTTGACATTCTGTGTGGTGCAGCAATGAATAGTGAAGTATCCATGCTTCCAACAGCGTTTGAACATGATGACAGAAATGCCAGCAAACCGGGCCTGTAAACTGCTATTATCCTGGCAAGTGAACAGCTGCCCACAGTGTCCATATCTTTCTTTTCCTTTCTCACTTGCCATGACCTTGCAGTTTTTGTTCTTAAAGACCTTTGTCTTATTACTGGAGATGACTGACCCCAGAAGTGTCTAATGCTTATATCCACATTATTTCAACAAAACTCATCACAAAATAATGGAGAAGTTTTATGGGGTATTTCAAAAATTCAAAGCTAACCTTTTTCAAAGAAATGTAGGCCCTGCTACAGAAACATCTAAAACAGAGTCCCATTTTGTTTGAGATGAAGTCTTACTATGTAGTCTACCTTGGCATCAAACTTCTATACTTATATGGCCTCTTGCCTCAGCCTCCTGAGTAGCTGGGTCTATAACCACACATCACTACATCCTGTCCTGTCATCTTAATGAAAGAAGGACTAAACAGAAGTGGGAGGATTTTTAAAAATGACAGAGTCACTGTCGTATATTTTAATTCTGTATTTGTCAATTAACCTGCAAAAATTACAGAGGGCAACTGTCTTCAATGATTTATCTTTTTATACAAAGATACCACGACTCTGTTAAGACTTCCAAGTTTTTGTTTGCTTTTTCCCCCAATATCAGATCATATCATAAAGTCTGGGGATGATCCCAGTCCTTAATGGAGTCTGGACTTTGGCTTTCTTTTTGTTCTTTAGGATTGAACCAGCTGCCCTTTGACCCTGCCAACAACAACGAACCCCTGCAATTTGCTAGTGCCAATGGCCCTCTGGTCGCAGATGGCCTCATTGAGAATGGAGGGGAATCAAGCAAGAAAAGAAAGAGAACAAATACTCCTTCAGGTAAGCTAGGTGATAATGCACTGTCTTAAATCAGTGCTGTTGAGGGAGTTTTTCCCCATAGCCTGGTAGGTTGTGGGCTCTATGCTAGGTAATGTAGGAACTGCAGAAACAAGTAAGATGCCCTTGCCTATTTCATCTGATGGAGGAGTCACATATATGAATAACTGATATTATCACGAGTGCTGTGGTGAATGTGCACAAGGAAGGAAAGCAGAAATGAGGGCTATTTCTGCTTTACAGAGTATGGGGCACTTTGTAGCAAGAGTACATTTTTAGCAGAACCTCAAAGAATAGGTAGATTTGAAGCAGGAAGGGTAGTTGAAGAATTTTGATATTTATAGAAGTGGAATTGTATGAGTGAGTGTTTCACTACCCATTTGTCTTTCTATGAACATGGAACAGGATATCCTCATTTTGTCTCTAGATCACATAATTGCATATATTTCAATGTCTCCAACTCGAGTACCTCTGCAATGTATATAACATGTCCACATGTCTACTGCTACTGTGAGACAGTATTTTACTATGTAGCCCAAACTGACCTCAAAATTCTATCTTCCCGCCTTGGTGACTGAGTTGTTTGATTAGAGCTTTCACCACCAAAGCAGGCCTCACATGTATTTGATGCCTTTAGCATTAGTTAGAATACCTGAGAAGCAGATTCTCTAGACTCCCCCAAAACAGCACAAAGGATGGCTAGCATTCCCTGAAATCCTTTCCTCATTCCTCCTGTCTTATTGGTATATTCTTATTTTAAATTTCTCTAAACACAATGAGAAAACAACAAAAAAAGTATTAACTGATTATTTGATATTCAGGGTTTATCATTTAGGTGAGTTAACAACCTGATATACTAGGGTGGGCCTAATAGACATGTTCCTGGTTGGTTTTTTTTTGTTTGTTTGTTTGTTTTTGTTTTTGTTTTTACTATTACTTTTATTTTCAGCTTGCAAAACCAAGTATATTTATGAACGCAATATCATTTTCTGTCTCTTATTTCATAGTCATGATGTTTGCTAAATATGTGTTTGGAAAATAACAATACAGCATAAATATTACCTATATGGAACCCTTAATATAGGACGGAATTCTTTTTTTGTAGAGTTTGGAAAGGTAAGGTGGATAGCCCAGGAGCTGCTCTCTCTCCCTTACAGTGTGTATGTGTGTGTGTGCGCGCGCGTGTGTATATCTGTCTCTCTCTTTCATTCTCTTTCTCAGCTTAGAGTGTGTTCATTAGTCTGGGTTTCCATTTTTTTCGTGTGAAGCAGAAATAAAGCTAAAGCCTTCTTCAAGGGCTTGTTAGTCAAAGTAGTTGAAATGATGTAGGTGATGTTTAATATGATATCTACACTTAATGACTTGCTATTCTTTTCTTATCATATGACATGATCCTCATCTTTTTAAGCATCAATATATTTCAGTTTTATTGTATGCCTCTCTTTGTGTTATTGTGCTTATGAACTTATTTGTGTTTTTAAAACCATGTTCAACGTAGTTCTACTTTTATCATTTAGTAGCATCCTTGGTTATTTATTGCGCTTTAATATTCTACTACAGTTTTCAAAGTTTACTAAGGAAGATTATACAACTTTAGTTCTATACTAACTTGTCCTTGGTTATGTTGTTTTTCTAGTTATCACAGCTACAATTTGTACAAGGCCTATTTCTCTTCTGTAGTCTGCAGTCACTTATTCGTTTTGATGTTATTTTTTTAACTAATGTATTTATTTTACATCTCAACAAAAATGTCTCCTCCCTCCTCCTCTCCCATTCCCCCACCTCCTCTACATATTCTTTAGCAATTCTTGTCTCTTTCCAATTGAAACAAACAAACAAACAACAAATCCTTTTAAAAATCCTATCCGGGTTTCTAAATTCATTTCTCACATGTGTATGTTAAATAAGGGCAAAATCGGCTGCCAGTAGAACCTGACATGGAGAGTGTACTCATGATTTATAGCATTAACTTTAAAACATCGCTTTTGGCTGCTCTGAGGCTTTTTGGTCACTTGTTGGTTTTTGCACTGTAATCATAAGTTCATAGTTTCAGGCAGTTCCTTTTTAACTGTGGTTAACTCATGGGGGTGGGAAGAAGGGGGGTATGTTAATTTGAATTGTGAACCAGCTTTAAAGAATTGACATTTCATTTCTAATGAGCATATCCAATTGTGAGCCAAGTTAACTGTTGCAGATAAAGGATTTTAACAGTAGATTACACTAATCTATAATTAGCAGAATCAATTTGCATTCAAATAATGAATATTCTGAAGTTCCTTAAAAACAGTGCGTTCTTTAAAATAAGTGGAATAAGCTCCTGGAAGGCCAAATGAACTTTCCTGAAATCCTGTTCACAATATTTGCATAGTGAGCCCTTTCTTTGTTAAGTAGCACAAAGGTAACACGGACCTGGTTAAATGGCCACAAATTCCAAATTAGTATAGTCGAAATTAATGAGGTTTTGATATAGAAGGGGGCTCTTATAATTGTTCAGCTGTCAATACTGTGATAGTGCAAATGGGTGGATTGCTAACTGATATCATTTCTTTCTTGTGCACTGCTAGACAAAAGGGAGAGGGGAGGTGGTTTGTGAATAGGACCTTCCCTCTTGTCACCATTTACTGCAGTATCCTAGCAGAGGGAAGCTGAGGTTTGATGTTCTTGAGGGAGCTTCACTTCTGAGCCATCTACATGTCTATCTCTTATAGCTCTTGACCATAGCTATGAGGCAAAGCTTACTCTTTGTCCTTCAGTGCAAATGAAGTGAAGCTGAAATAAGCCAGCTCCAGTGTCTCAGTATACCCCTTCTTTCCTCCCTTTCCCGTTCCAACTATATTGTCCCTTTTCAGCAAATCCATTGTCTCCCTTTATACTAAAGCTAATTTCTTGAAAGTTAGTGGTGATTTCTGCTACTCTTTCATTCTCTCAAAGGTTCCTGTTGTTCTTTCGCTCAAAGGTTCTTATGCCAGAAACTTGGTACCAAATATGGCACTGTTGGCATGATGAAGTCTAAGTGCTGGGCCCTGGTGAAAGGTATTTAGGTCAGGAGAGCTCCCCACATGGCAAATGGATTAATGGTGGTCTCTTTGAGTGGGTTGTGTCTTGCAGGAATAGATTGATTTCCACAAGACTACAGTTTTATAGAACGGCATGTCTGGCCTTTCCTGTTATTTTGCTTTCTTGTTTGTACACGCACCACTTCTGCACATGGAAGATTCCTTTTCTACCTCTCTAAAATGTAATGGTATAGTCTGATGGAGACACAGTACAGTTTGTATTTTCCAACCACCAGAATGACAGACCAAATAAACATTTTGACAGAGTACCCCAGCCTTGAATATTTTGTCATTATGACAGAAAATGGACAGAAACAGTCTCAACAATTTTGAAGTTAATAAACTGCAGGCCATTTTTGAAGGACATTTCTTAATGTATTTGTATACAGAAAACTCAGGTATGTACATTTAACCCCATTTGGTGGCAAGTCCATTGGCTTTTTTGTTTTCCCATATGGCTTTGTGAGCCACAGTTTTGAGATCCAGGATGTTGGCTCACCAGCGGCAATGAATCTCATCTTACCTGTCTTTATAATTTGTACTGATAGCTTCTTACAGCTTAGCCAGGGAGACTTTGTATTCTAAATTAACCTACAGGAAGGCAACAGTGATACGTGTTTTCCTCTGGAACAGCCGTCCCAGCCCGGCCTTCCCCTTGATGATGCAGCAGGTTAACCCTCATTTTGTAATACAAGGAATACCACCAGCTCATGGTACTCCACCATGACAGTGACATTAGAGACCCCTGCTTGAAGGGCAGGAGGTTTCTTAGTGAGAATACCCCTTTTGCCAGAAGCTTTTTTCCCCCAGCCCATGTTAACAGCCTCTCCTTTTCTCCTGCTTTGTTTCTGGTCTCTCATAGCCAAGCTTAAACAAGGCCTCAGTGAAGTGGTTAATCACAAGAGGATGGAGATAGGGACCCTGCTATTTGACAAATCAGGTGAGGTCCCTTTGAGACTGGATGTAGTGTCCTACGCCGAAGTTCTCTGTCCTTTTCTCAAACAGAGGATTCAATGACAGTTTGGCATCTTGCTTTCTGACCCCAAAAGATGGAACTAGCCTCTTCCCCTTGGGCCTCATTGATTTGTTTGACTTAGAGGAGACCCTTATGTCAAACTGTAACCACCTTAATCTCTTATTCAGTTTGATGCAATGAAAAAAAAATCCTTGAATTGTCTCTCCTTTTATGTTCCTTAGTTTCCATTTGCTACGAAATCCACACATTCTTTGAACCTTTTTTTTCTTCCTTCATCTTGAGTGTATTATTGTACATATTTATAGAAAAGAAATAAAGGTTAAGTAACTTACCCAAGGCTGAACATGCAGCAAGTGGCTTATTGAGGGCTCTAACTCCAAACCATATTTCTATTTCTAACTCCAAACCATATTCTACCATTTCAATGATAGGAACTCAGTCTCATTACTAAAGTATATATTAAACATTAGTGGCAGACTAAGGAAAGCTATATTTGAAAGTAAATAGTATAGAGTAAGATGATCAGAGCTTGAGTTTCATTATTCAAAGGGGTATCTTCAAAATCTGAGATGGTCATAGCTCTTTACAATTTTCTTTCCCGCTGCTGCCCAAAACAAATCTTTTATTTTGGCCAAGTTAATCAGCTGTCCTTCATAGGCACAACCTTACCCATGACTTTTCTTCACTTACAAAGCCTCACCTGTCCCTAAAGGTCAACTTCTGTTCCTTCAGAGAGCACACTTCTCAACCATCCATGAAGATCTTGTGAAAAGAATGCCTGCCCCTAATGGACACATTGCCTTTACCAGGTGAATGTCTTAAGTGCCCAAGAGAAACGTAGTGCATGGAGTTTCAGGATTTACCACCAGTGTCAATGAGGTAGATTAGCGATTGTAATTCGGTATCTTTTTTTTTCCATATTTGACCACAGGATCTTAAGTGTATGACTCCTTTGTAGTTTTTATCTTAAA